TTTTTTAGTTTTTTTTTTTTCAAATCCGGTTCAGAAGGGCCGGTTTAAGGTCTGTCCACCCCCTGAACCGGTCAAAACCCCAATACACCCTCTGTAGGGGCGTATTGGGAAGCTCCCAATACGATACATATCGGCCTGTGTGTCGATTTTTTGAACCTTGGTTATGGATTGAACGAAAAATGATTGTTGCAAGGAATATGGGAAAWGATGCCATGAAGTGAATGCATCTTCCCAAGTAGAAAAGGGGAGTTTTATCTCCTAAGTGAAAATGGAGGAGCTTTATCTCTACCTCCTATATGTGCAACAATCCGTTGTTTATGTCTAAAGGGCAAGGTTCAAAATATTGATACAGGCAGATATGCTGGTAGGGGCATTATTTGGCTGTATCTTTGCTCACTTTTTATTTTTTTTACTTTTTCTTTGAAACTGGTTCAAAGGGGTCGGTTTAAGGTTGGTTTACCCCCTAAACTAGGTCAAACCCCAAAACACCCCCTGTAGGGGCATATCGGGAAGCCCCCGATACGATACGTATCGGCCAATACACGCTGATACGTTGCAATATTTTGATCCTTGCTCAAGGGAAGATAAACAAAGGAATATCCCCACATTAATTCAGGGGGAATTTTGACCCAAACACGGATTCAAAACAAGGGAACTGAATGAGAATTGGAGTAGTCCCCAAATGAAGACTATGCTTAAGGGGAGAATAATCACAGAATCCCCTCTATGATTCATGGGGAGGTAAATGGCTCATGTGATGAAATTGTAATATGTTATGCGATTAGAAACCATTTAGTTATTTGTGCTTTAACAGTTATATCGTTTGAAAAAAGATGTCGTGACTATTCAAATGCTTATCTGTTTAGTTCATATATCGAATAGTCAATGATTATGGATTATGACTAATTATGTGCATAATAGTTATTATTAATTCATGAAAGCCATATCCATTTATCTTGTTGATTGAGCTAATAATTCTTGTGCATCATTGAGCTTAAATGTTTATGTAGGGCAGTGGTACTCTCATGTTGAGATTAATTGTTTTTATTATTTTTCATCAATGGTTTGTCATCATAAAAAATGGGGAGATTGTCGACCCTATGTGTTTAGATGATAACAAACTCATTGAGAGTACTAATGGTGTATCTAAGCGTGCAGCAATTCTTTAGTAAACTTCTCTGTTAAAAGATGAAATGGAAGCTCTACTAAGTTGGTCGCCTGTGCTTCAAAAAACATCTACACCATCATTATCATCTCTCAAACTGAAGAAGCTCCTAGTAAATCAAGCATCAAGGCCAATGAAGGACTTAATGGTTTTAGAGTTGCTTAAAGAAAATCTACTACAACATCTCATCAAGGAGAAGACTACATCAAATTCTACTTAAATTGTTTTAATCTTTTAAGGATCTTGATGTAATCAATTGTATGATGCACTATATAAATGCTCAACAAGAATGCATTCAGTAAATCAAACTTAGAAACCATAAACCTTAATGGTTTGGTTCCTAAGCAGTCTTGAGCTCAAAAAAGAATAAAAATCAAGAAAAATACTTGTTGCGAGCCAACGGAAGAACTTCCAAACCTTTGGACAAAAATCTTCAAGGTTTCTAAGTGTAATGTTGTCTGTTAGGCAAGTTTATCTTGATTGTGAGTAGTTGACTACCCCAGAAAGATGAGTTGACTAATTGTAACAGTCAAGGCATGAAATATGCCTAGTCTAAGAAAACTAGTCGACTACCCAGAAAAACATAGTCAACTAACTTAGACAAACTAAGTTCAAATCTTACCAATTGATTGATATGGAGGAATTAGTTGACAAGGAGAGAAAGATTCTTCCCTTTATCGAGTGGTCAACTAACAAAATTTGACAATTGACTACTTCGAAGAAATTTGACCATTTTAAGGCTCTAATGATTACTACTATCTTTGGAAAGCCATCTAACATGTTGGGGAAATTTGAATCATTACTAAAGAGTACAACTCAATTAAAAAAAAGTAGAGAGATGCAAGAGATTTGAATCAAGGTTTATGGAGAACAACCTATGCATTCCTTATACATATTGTATATAGTTGTTTTTCAGAAAGACGTCTTTGTAGAATAGATCTTTGTACTTCAAATAGTGTTAGAGGTGAACAAAGCTAAGAAGCTATTGAGATTGTACAATGTCACCCATCTATTGGAATCTTCTTTTCTAAGCAAAGCATCTTAGAGAGCTCTAGCAACTGAGTTAGTTTGAGTTTGTATACATTTGCCTAATGAGAGGCTTCCTCTATTAAGCCCACCTACAAGGTCTTGCAAGCATCAAGGTTAGGTTGGCACCCATGAAGTCTAACCAATTCAGGTATTGTAGGCACTCGTGATATCTTGCTGGTGAATCAAGGAAGAACATTCATTTTCCCTTGGCCCTCTTTTGAACCACAAGTTCCAATCCACCCCGATTGGAGAAGGTGTTCAGCGTTCCCATTCTAGAAATCATCTCTCCCTTAAGGAGAGACAGAGCAAAGAGTTCAGGAATTTCACCCACCCACAAATCTTCCGATAACATAATATTTTTTTTTTTTGATAATTCTTCCGATAACATAATATTGCCACCCGCTACCCACATTAAACCTATTGGAATTAAGAAAGATTGGGTATACTTCATGAATTGCTTCCCAAGGRGAAGCCTAAGAAGAATGCAGGGCTAATTTAGCATCCCAACCATTGCTTCCATTCCATTTATGCTTGCTATTATTACCTTGTGCCATAGCCTATCACTCTCAAAAGGGAATCTCCATAACCATTACCTAATAAAGCAGTGTTTCCAAAGACAATGCTTCCTATCCCTAAACCCCCCTTTTCTTAGGCTAAATGACCTGCTACCACTTAACCAAGCTATCCTTTTTGTCCTCTCCCGATTCCCAAAGAAAGTCCCTCATGTACTTTTCTAGTTGCCTTGCTATTTTAATTGGGATATGAAAGGTGGAGTGGAAATAAATGGGAAGATTTGCTAATGTAGCTCTAATCAAAGTAATTCTCCCTCCAAAGGAAATGTAATTTTGCTTCCGAAGAGCTAAATTCCTAGAAAATCTCTCCACTGCTAGCTTCTAGAACCCATCAGACCTTGCGTTCCCACCCATTGGCAAACCTAGGTATATTATATTCCTAAACTCACATCCCAATAAATCCGTGAATCTTAGCAATTCCCTTTCCTCCAAATTGATCCCTACAATTCCACGCAATTGATCCTCAACGGATCAACCCCAACAAACTTACCAATTTGTCAATCACCAACTTCAAGTTTCTTAACATATCCAAGATTCCAAGTTAACAACCTCCCAAAAAAGAATTGTATCATCAGCAAATTGAAGATGAGAAACAACCACTTGATTTCTACCAATCCTCCATCCCCTAATTAATCCTTGTGAATCTGCTCCAACACTAATCTGCTTAAAACCTTTACCACTAGAGTGAATAAGAAAGGAGATTAGGAGTTCTCCTAATTCCTCGCTTGGCTAGGAAGAAATCTTTGGCCACACCATAGACAAGGATTGAGTAGTGAACTAAGCTATCACACCCTTCAATCCACAATCTCATTTAGCCCCCAAACCAAGTCTTTCTAAGATATCCAACAAAACCCTCCAATCCACTAGGTCATATAGGCTTTCTCTAAACCCTCCAAACCCTTCTCCCCTCCTTTCCTCTTTTCTACAACACACTTTGCTTCCCTTCCACAACTCTTACCCACACAAACTTAAAGCAAACTTTTATTCCATTACTTCCATCTTTTCAAATGTTGAAATATGTTGGAAATTTAAGCAAACATATTACAATTTCAAGCCATATTGAAAAAAGTAGGTTTTAAGATTCTAAAAAATCGGTCAAATATCATATTATTGTGGTCGAAGCCAATTATTTCATCAATTCATCAAAAAAAGACAATTATTTCATCCAAAATGAACACATCTTTTTAGAAACACAAAGTCAAATTCCATTTAATCAATAACTAAAGAATTACAAGCAATATAAGCATCCCTTAAGAGAGGCACAAGATGCTACCTCTCCCAAAAAATTATAAATTACATTTAAGCTCAACACAAAATGTTTGATCTATAACCACAACTTTTATTAAKTAAAGAAAGAAGTACAAAGTTATAAAGTAGTCAATGAGAGATTAACCCCCTTATCTCTCCCCAAAAGATCTTTCTTTTCTTACAACTGGCCCCAAAACAATTCATATCTCCCCACCCCTTCGTTTGGCTAAAGAATCTACAAAACTATGGCACTTCTTTTGACCCAATGTAGCCTCACTTCCAATTCTTTCGTCACTCATATAAATTTCTCTCACTGTTGTAGTTCCACATCCTTGCATCCTCATTTTGTAACCAACCCACTACCAAATTCTAGTAAGCCATTTAAATTTCTTGGTCTCATATCTCTATAGCACCGAATTACAGAATCTGGTCTATCAACCATCCAATCACTAGTTTTCAGTCCCCCTCAGTCACCAAATTCAAGAAGTTCAATTCGCAAGCAATCTGTATTCCTTTCATTGCCACCAACAATTAAGATCTAGCAGAATCATGAATTCCCATTGGGATTGAGAATAAAGCAATAACATTACCTTTTGTATTTCCCAAGACCCCTCCCTATACCAAAAGGGCCAAGATTACCTTGACTGCTTCCATTGAAATTTAGCTTCACATATACTTCCAGAGGAGGCAACCGTATGGCATTAACCTTTTTCTTCCTAATTGAAATTCTAGCCACCACCTCTTAGTTTCTCCAAATAGCATCAAATGGCAAACTGTAAAAAGGAGACAAGGTTATAACCCAATGGATAACTTTGGCCAACACACAAAATCTCACTTCCTCTTTACTCCTCTTCTCTGTGAATGTTCTCGTATTTCTCATATTCCTTTACTCCCACATAGCCTAAGTCACCACTGCTCTCACACAACTCCACATGATTCTTCCCCTTAGGCCACACAAATGTTGAAGGATGAAATAGCATATTTACCTCTATTGGGAGATTCCACATGCACCCAAACAAAGAGAAGAACCAATTCCAAATATCTACAATAAAAGGACAAGAGATTAACAGGTGGTAGCAAGTCTCACCATTGGATTTGCACAAAATATGAAGTTCAGAGAAATACACGAAGAGGGTCTTCTTTTTTGTAACAAGTCCCGAGTGTTCACCTTTCCATGAGCCACTTCCAATTTTGGGTGGAATGGGTCTACACCAAACCTCCTTAAACAGGAAGACAATAGAGGGATTGGAAATACAAAGGAACTTACACAAGGAGGTATAAGAAAACAACCCTTTGGGATGTGGGGTCCAAATACATCTGTTTGGTTTGGAAGGATCTGAACAAACCCAATCAAGACGCTGTATAAGTTCAGCTAGGGCAATAAATTTGCCATCCTCAACCCCCTACAGAAGCCAAAATCCCAATTATGACCTAGAAGAAGTATAGGATAAGCAAAAATTTCAATACAGCCTCATTTTTATACAAAGAAATAGAGTACAATGAAAGAAAGAGATCCTTGAGAGAAGAACCAATCCAAACATCTTTCCAAAACCTTACGTCAAGGGCTCGGATTTGCTACCCACAAGCTGTTCCCACATCAATCCACAGGACATTACAGCTATGCATTGGGAATATCTCCCTTGTAATCCATGGGGAGATGTTCCCAATACATTACACGGTGGAAGTATTCAGTTGGTAGGGATGTGGGAACAATTTGTGGGTAGCAGATCCAAAGTCTCTTATTAACAAGGTTCAAAGTATTGAAATGTCCATGTATCAACAGAGGCGTATCGGTACTACAAAGCATGCACTTATATTTTTTTAGTTTTTTTTCAAGAATTGGTTTTGAACTTGAAGGAATTGGTTTTGAAAAAACCAATTCCTTCAAGCTATTAGGTGCCAACTTCTATGGTATTCTGCCCCCTTTTTCTCTTTCTTTTCTTATTCTATAGATCTGATTTAATGTTATCCTTATCCCTTTCCCTAAACATTAGATCTGCATTTCAGTATTCTGAGTTTTTTTCCTACATCAATATTATTTAATATTTCCAAAGATTTCACTATGTTTAATATTTTATTATGATATTCTTATGCAACCTTCCAATATTTCTAACATGTTTCCTATTCTTAGTTGTCCAACATTTTAAACCTTAACAATATCCCATTTAAAAAATTGAACAAAAGGTTTTAGATCTACCTTTACATGCTCCAAAGTCAACTAGGAAATAGACTAGAAATAACTCCTAATTACTTCAAAACTAGGGCAAGCCCATAGGCCATAGAGACAACAAAATAAGGAGTAATCATTATTATTTATAAAAATAAAAAGGATTGGAACTCCTAAAAGAACTGTAAAAATAGGTAAGTTTTTATATGCCAAAAAATATGGAAGTGGTGTAACTGTGTAAGGAGTTTTCACTAAAATAACTATCCCAAATATAGAAATTTCAGTGGCATATAGAAAAAGCTAGAAACTGGACACAACTTAATGGATGAAAGAAKAATAGCTCAGCATTATGGATGGAACAACCAGAGTTGCATCCATTTTCTTTTTTGTTTCTTTGTGATCAATAATTAAAACAAATTCATTAATTAAAAAACAATTAGATACAAAGATGTAGAAAGGGAGAGGTAAGCTCTATTAGTTCTCCCAAACTAGGGGTGTCAATGGACCAGTTTTGGAATGAACCCTGTCCAAACCAAAATCAATTTGGATGGACTGGACGAACCAACAAGACATATTGCATTGGACCAGTCCAGACTTAATGGTCCAAAGTATTTATTGGATTGAATTGGACCTGACCCATCCGTAATGAATTTATATTGGATTGAGCCAATATCTGGTCCTTGATAGAAGATAAGAATATAGGTGTCAATGGACCAGGTTTGGGTTATAATTAATCAAAATTAAAACAATTTTGAACAGATTGGACAGTCCAGACATTGAATTGGACTGGTCCAAAATGGTCCAATATATTCACTGGATTGGATTGGACCTGGTCCATTTGTGATGGACTCACATTGGATTGGATCGGATTGGACCAAATCCAGTCCAATAGACACTACCCTAACTAAGAAGCATGATTACAACAAAACTCAAAACAATTGGTTCCTTCCCACCCCTTGTTTAGCCAATGTCTCAGCAAAGGAATTGGCATCTCTTTTCACCCAATGTAAATCACCTCCATTCCCTTATAGYAGCCACATTATTTTCCTTCTCTCATAAATGTAGTCCCACTATCCAACCTCCTCATCCTTTTGTAGCCAACTTATAACTAGCTTAGAATCCCATTCAATTGATAGCTTTTGGATGTTCAGCTCTTTAGCTTTTTGAATTCCTTCTATTACAGCCAATATTTCAGACCTCAATGAGTCACCCACCCCAATTGGGCCTGAGTAGAGAGCAACAACTCTTCCTTCCCCATCTCTGACTACTCCTCCAATACCTAAAGGACCTGGATTTCCTTCATTGCTGCCATCAAAATTCAGCTTTATAAACCCACCCGAGGATGGAGACCAAGATTGCCTAAACCAGAGTTGCATCTATTTCTTTGGCATTGTCAATAACCATTAACTAGTAGCAAGTTTGTGATCCTGCTCCTCCTTGGATCCATTACTTCTATCAGTAGCCATCCATACCTGAGCTACTAGAAAGCTGGTAGATGGTACTTAAACCTCAAATTCATAAAATTGCATTTTCAAAATTAATTTAGCTCAAAACTTCTTCAACATATTCTCTCAAAAAAACCCTTCAATACATGGTTAAATGATTAGGATCATCATTGAGTTCCTCTTGTGGCTGTTGGACCAGGGTGGCCAACTGAATGTATTTTGTTGCTAGAGATGCAGCCATGTGGGGCATCAACAATGGACTCTGAAACTAGAAACCAGAGAGTGAAAAGATCAAAACATTGTCAAACTGATTTTGATTGCCTCCAACATAAAGAACAGTTGTGAGGATTTGTTCCAAGGGAGGTGGAAGTGCTTCTTAGTATTTTTGAATTTGTATATGAGTACAGAAAGGGTTTCAAACAAGAACTCACATTGCAAATCGCATGCACTCAAAGGCAAATATACTGAACCACTCAAATGTATAATGACTGTAATGTTTTTTTTTTAAGATATATAAAAAACAAGCTTTATTAGAGAAAAAGGAAAGGAAATTACAACAGGGTGATAAGTAATCACCCAGCAATAGCAGACCCAAAAAACAACAGACCCGCCCTAACAAATCCCCTTAAAACAGAGAAAAAAACTACAGATATACCAAAGCACCTTAAGAAACAAACCCATATCCAAATACCAAATCACAGAGGACCCTATCACCAATCCCTAAAACAAACACAATAGACTAAATATCTCAGAACCCAAATCCTGCCATAAGATACATATGAAAACATCCTGAAACCAAACAATCCAACTGATGAAAAGTTCACCTTCAACTTTATCCATTTTCTCATCATTCCCATTGTCTAATATAGAAATCTCTTGTCTCATCTGGGTAACTTTCTTTATCTTTCTCACTTTCTTTTTTAGTCCTGCTTCATATACTCCCAGCTTCAATCTGGCAAAAATATTTGAAACTTGTCTAGCATGATAATGTTTAGACTCCAGTTTTTCCTTCAACTAACAAAAAACAAGTCTAGCATGATAAAGGAGCAATCATGGAAGACAAATTAGCAAATGTCAATGCGATTGACTAAATTCTTTTTGCATCTCCCATGCTGGGGATTGGGGAATAACCAATCAACTTCAAGGGATGTATTATATAAAGGCTATGAAAAAGCTTAAGCAACCAAAAAAATGAAAATGCACTAAGAAGATTTAGCTCGTTAGCTTAATGGCTGACCAATAATTACCTCAGCGATCCAAAGAGAGGATTTCCAGAAAGAAATACCGAAAAAAAATGAACTTAGGATTTTAAAATTTTATTTCTGCTGGTAAATAAGAGGTAAAACAGGTTTCACCTTATCATGGTAATGCCCAAATGCACCTTCTGCTTGTACTGGTACTGGTGATGGCACCACCGAGTTCTGGACCGGAGCCTGGCAAGGAGCATACTTGCCCGCAGCTGCAGCCACTTCAACCGGAGCTTTCATCTCAGGAGTTGTGGTGAAGTAGTCTGACGCCAGTATCCTGTTGAGTCGCTCTCTCAACCCCGTATCTGCAAATTAGCTCTATGATTAGCTAAAGCACGCATAAAGAAAGAAACAACTTCAGAAATCAAAGAATCAAATAGAATGAAAGAATAGTATTAGGTGAGTGATACAGGTAACAGCGGCTCCCGGTTCAATGGGCTGGTCCGAATTGGAAAGCCAGAGCTTTGCATGCTGGACGCAGCTCCGCAAAGCGTTCTTGTGGGAAAGAATGGAGTGAACAGGGCGCGAAATTAGAAGACTGCCCAGCATAGAAATCATATCCAAATCTCTTTCCCCAAGTAGATCGGTGGCATCATCGGTGACATAATCATAGGTCAAGCAGCAACCACGTTCATGAGTCCGGGTGAGCATCGTAGAGGTGAAATCACTCTGGGGCTTAACATCGAACAAAGATGCGAAGTACAGAAGATTCAAAAGATCTTCAAGAATGGATTCGTCTCGGTCCCCGTCAGACCGGCCCTTCTCGGACTCCCCGCTCTCTTCCTTACCGTCCTTACTGTCCTCAACGTTGTCGTCGACGACGTGGGGAGTAGCAGAGACTTGATGGTGTTGGACGGTAAGTTTGAGCTCCTCTTGGAGGGCAGCGGTGAGAGGTTGACGGAGCTTTTCGAACTCGTCGATAAGAGCAGCAACGGTCGGCTTGGAGCGTAGCACCTCCTCTTGCTCCTTGTTGATGGGCTTGCCCTGAGCAATACCCTCTTCCATCTGAAGGATTCGGTTGTATTTCTTTCGGAGGGCTCGGAGGCGTTTGTTGATGAGACTCAGGACTGGGCCATCTGTGACTTCTGAGGCCGCCGAGGCCGCCATTATTGTTAGGAAGCGCTGAATCACACCCCTTGGCTTCTTATACTTGGAGGCTAAGCTGTGAGAGTGTTGGTGGTTCAGGCGACTGACGGGAGGTGGAGCTGAAAGCCTGCCCTGAGGGTTTTTAAGAGCTTCAGGTTATCGGGCTCTGACTTACATAACTAAACTAGCCGGAGGTGGGATGTGAAGAGTGGGGAGGGAAGAACGAAGCGGCGGTGGGCTCTGAACTTTTCAGTTTTCATTCGACGCCAAATTGCCCAAAAAATAATAATAACAGAAAGAACGAAAGAAAAAAGAAAAAACCCGGAAATATTATCTCGCTTTCGCTTGGTTTGGACAATGAACATGAAAACGAAGTTGGACCGTCATGGTAAGATGAAGTGAGGAGTGGAGTCCAATTCGGATTAGGACGAGTTAACTCCGTGATTAACTCGGTTTTTTAGCCTTTCTTTGAGGCTTGAGCTCTGCCTATGCTCTCTTCTAGGCCAGCATCGGTTCATGGGGTTTTGGGCCACAAAGCGTGCAAAAGGTCCAGCCCAGTGCTCCTCCAGTCCTCTTCTCGGGACAGGAGCGTCGTGGGCATAGGGATTAGGGACTCTTTGGACAGTTGGACTCCTGCTATGATATCGAAATACATCATACCGAAAAAAAACTTGTAGCCAATCAATCATATAGATGGTAAGAACCATGCAAATGATCTATAGATGTATCAAATCTATACATCTTTCAACAATTTAAACAAAAAAAATGTTTTTCTTACCATTTAAGTAATCAGTAGAAATAAAAACAAGTGCAACTAATATTTTAGTTAATTTTATTAATTCCTTTTACACATGTTTTGTGTCTTAGTGAGAGTTAAAGTGGCTGAATTGAATGAATTATTACATTGTCTTTTAGTTTCACGAGGTCACAAGCTACTTAATAGCTGAAAAGCAGAAATTGGGTTGATTACTATGCCTTGAACATTTACTTAAATATTTTAGATGGTAAGAGACAAAGTAAAACATTTGGTTTAACCATTTCAGCTATTATCAAACAGTCCCTTATATTTATCATTTATAGATCTTATGCCAATATTGGTCAACAATTCCATTACCTAATCCACCTAATGTTGGTCCCAACTATGTCGAGTCTGTGGGAGGGCTATATGTGTGTAATTACTAATTACCAATTACCAATTTAATATAAAATGATTAGTAACTTATTAATCATTGGATACATATAATAATTTGTTAAAAGATATGAAGATATTGGCTGGAATATTAAGATTGAATTCATTTATTATTGGGTTCCAAACTTCCATCTGGAGACTTAATGTATTATTTACTAATTATTTTGTAACGACCAATGAATTTATAATAATTTAGCATCATATTAGGGAGTATATGACTTTGAGTAATTTGATATTTTGATCAAAGTATTTCTGAAGTTATTATGCAATATCCACATATCTTTTATGTTAATTGCAATGCAGTAATTTACATAAATTATTAAAGTATGTATTTCTAATAAGATCATAAATTATTTTGTCATTTGAGTATTTGATTTAATATTATTGATGCATTTGAGAAATTTAGTGAGCTTCTGGTGTATGTATCCAYGCATATCCCAATTATATTACCACATCCATGCGTTTCCAGTGCATATCCCAATCCCAATATGATCCTAAAATTGCCATTTTGATATCCTTTGATGCATGATGTCAATCATTGAATTAAAACAATWCTAATGGTACGATTGCTTTAATAACTAGCTGATTTTGAACTAACCATCTTCCTACAAATACATACAAAATACAAAGTTTTGCACTCTACATATTTGTATTTATACTCCTTCCAATGTGTTGAGATCAACTGATTTGATTTGACAGTTTGGTTTAGTGCAGAAATGGCAAATGTCTGCCATTCATACTCTGTGAGAGTCTGGATCATCTGCCAGCAAACACATACCAACCCTCTACCAACAAAATCTCACACTGCACATCTCATACATGGCAGATCCCACTTTTATGACAGGTCCCAGTCTCATAGTAAGATGTGCTGTGTTAGATCAAGTTAGTAGAGAGTTGAAACATGTTTTGTTGGCAGAAGATCTCAACTCACTCTAAGGATGTTCGATTGTCCTCTCTAATCCTAAGAAACATTGGTCCAATGTAATCTTCGAGGATCAAAACTTAGTAAGAGCCAAGCGGAGCATTAATACTAGAATATATCAATATTATAAGATTTCTTTTTCTTTGAAATCACTTCAAGGGGTTAGACAATTGGGGATTTTATCCCAGGTCTCCGCTACAACCAGCCACAGACCTTACCTACTGAGCCGGTTGGTTGGTTAACATGATTACAAGCCACCGAGAAATAGCAGCATTTGGTTAACATGATTTGTAATTTTGGCATCCATCCAACTTGATCACCCAGTGGACAAATATATATAACAAAAAATATGATTGCAATTTTTGGTTGAAAGCACTGGAACTGGAAGACTGATCTGCTCCAAATGAACAAAGTTGGCTATTAGATCAATGAAACAAATGCACTCCCCCCCCCCATGAAAATAAGAATAATAAAATCAAAGGGAAGATTGATGCCCATTTGTTTTACCCAGTTACACCACCAAAACTGATATTTCTTTGAAGGTAAATGATTAGCTTTTACATGGAGTAAAATAAAATGCAGAGAGACATTACAAAATGGCTTCAAGGAACTGCATGTTCTCATTGCAGGGACCGATTATCTACAGGTTGGAATATCTCGTGGATCATGATGTAAAAATGATTTTCATGTGGCAGAGCCCATCCCATAGAGAAAAGCAGTATAGATCCATTCTGAATTCTGCACCAGGATCTGTTTGCATAACATTACCAAAAGGAATACTATGAGCCCTGATTCTTTCAACAAGAATCAGTAAGCTATTTCTTCAGGAATACTGGCTTTTCCCAAGTACACATATTGCATCTCCTCTTCCCATGTCTGCAAAACATCCAGAACGTAAAATGGGAATGGTGGGGCGTTCACTACATTTATTCTCCAATATGATTTAGTTAAAGATAAAAAATGTCACCTCATGTCTAAAGGCAATCCTCATACGTGGTACATTTGTCTTATGAATATCATTTCCTTCAGGACCTCTCTTGAAATATTTGTTGCCAAGCCAATGCATCTGTAGCAGTAAAAAACTAACTAGATGAAACAAAATATTAAAGTTATCTCGAGGAAATTCATAACATTAAAGAAGCTCTTACATCCACGGAGAAATTTGCACAGGTTGGAGAAATGAATTCATGATCAACTAGCATAGTCACCATGCATACATCTTACTCAGGCACCTAAGTATCATTATATGTTGAAAAATATAAAAGRAACATATGACTGAATTACCGATAAAAAGCATTATGGTCTTATTGTTCTGGAATTGTTCAAAAAAAATTTAATCTCTACATCCTATCTGTTGGGAATTTGGGGGAAGAAAATAATTTCCTGGCATTGCACAAGCCTGTAACGTAAATTTCTCATTTACTCAGGCATGTCAAGCCAATGATTCTAACTTAAATCAACTAATAGGTATTAGAGCCCCATAAATCATGCTAATGCTATATTGATCAATTCCCCGTTTTACAAATATAACCAAAAGGAGAGCATATATAAAGTGGCTTCAGTTCTAGGATAGACTTCAGTGAAGTCTGACTCTAGATGAACCAACCCTACCTAACCACATACTTGAGGTGACCCACCCTAGCTCTGAGGTCTGAGGTAGTAAATTTCAGCTCAGTTACAAGTCATGTTAGCTTGGGTTTGGATTGGATTTATACACAATGTCATAAGCGTATATACATATACAACCCTACCCAACCTCAATTACAAGACAACTAAGAATTCATTGATGGCTGGGCACCCTTCTTTGAACTTCCTTTCATTTCCTCATTGACATATTTTGATCTTCTATTAATCAAAATAAAATAAATAAAGAGATGGATAAATAAGCGAATGCATACTTAGACGTAATCTCCATATCCCATTGAACCCAAGTACATCATGAGGACCTTATGCCTAGGTTCTCTGAACAAGCTACCTATACATGATTAACTCACTCTCCACTTTTCTTAAGCATGATATACGCATAAATAAACAACATTCAACATAAGGGGTAGGTAAGTTGGATCTACTCTAGAAAAGTGGGGTGCGTGGCACATTTTATGAATCTTGTGAATTTCTAACCCATTTCCCCATTCTTTTATTTTAACTAATAAAACAGCAAAGTTTCAGTTGCTGATAAAAAAGATGGATATCATTCATTTCACCTCTTTTGAGTATCCTGAAAGTATTGATCTTCATGTGTAGCACTTTCCAACACAAGGCCCTAATTTTTGTGGGAAGGGCCCCAACTAGGGGTGCAACTTAGGCAGGCCCAACTTGAACCAGCCCAAGCTTTTGCACGGGTTGGGCCCGAATTTTAGGGGTGCAGGCTGGGCCTAGGCCAGAAAACTCAGGCTTAACCTAAACTTGGGTAGGGCTTGGGTTGAGGTCTCGGGTAGCCCAAGCCCAACCTGACCCTGGCTCAATCCAACCTGGGCCCTACCCAACCTGAGACCATCCAAACAAAAACATATATATGTGAATTATATTATATAAAAATATCTTTTTGTCCAACTATATATATGTATAAAATATGTATATCTACATTTCTAAATAAAATTTGTACATATTTTCAATCAATTCTACACTTAAACTGGGCCATAAAGCCCAATAAAAGATGGCTATATAAAAATACACATAAATTCTTTCAAACCCAACTAACCCTCCCAAGCCTGACTAACCTGGCTTTGCCCCGCCTGAGCCCGAGCCCAACCTGAGTTGTGTTGGGTTAAGCTCTGTTTAGGCCTGGATTGAAAAAGTTGGGCTTAACCTCAGGTTAGGCCAGGCCCGAACCCGACGTTTACACTTCTAGGATCCTACCCACCCAGGTAGCACCCCTAGACAATGCATTCGCATAGATCCTTAAAGAGAACTGTGAGCAAGAAAGGTGACCTTTTTGGTTGGAGATCCACCATCAGAAATCAACTTCACAAGGGTCAAAGAACATCTTTTAGCAATTTAATAAGGAAACTAGCATCAACACTTTTTATGAAATCTTAACCATTGAGGAAAATAAGGAAACTAGCATACAGTTACTACTTAGTTCTTAAGTAGTAACTGAATGGATAAAAGATGGATCAGAAGAACCCTTGAATATGAGAAATCTTATTAGGGACAGGAGGGACTTTACTTCTAGAGTTAACATCTCTTCAGATGCATACAACATCTGCCAACTCATTGGTAGGCAGTCTTGGCATAGAAGGGTGATGAGACATGATATGTACTGGGGGATTGATATTCTGGGGTGATCTTGTATTGATTTTGGCCATTTGTAGGTGATTCCCTTGTGAACAAGGAACAATCCACCACTCTAGTGGAAGTTGATTTCTTCCTTGGATGTAAAATATATTGCTTTATAAGGAAAAAAAAAAGATAAACAGAAAATTTCTTTATAATGGCAGACAAATGCAAAGAAATTAGTGTTACTCAAGTTCACACCTTTGCTGCATGAGAAAACCCAGATTGATATACAGAATTCCTTGCTACCTCACAGAGGTCACATGAAGTTAACTTCCACACCTATATAATTAACTGCACAGTAAGAAAGACAGCCTAATCCCATAGTGTGCCAACCAAAATAAATAAATGAGGAACAGAAACTAGTAAAACCTGTGCTGCAACACTATATTCTTCCACAAGAGGTTCTTTTGTCAGTTGTATTTGAAGAGGATCATCAGTTGAGAGAGAAACATTTAGACCACGTTGGAAAAACATGGGGAATGGATTACGATGATAATCCAGGAATAGGGAGTTGTTACTCAATGGTGACATAGCCAATCCAATCTGAATCACAAGGGACAAACCATTTAGAAAGACATTAGAGAAAAGAGAAAAGAGAAAATATATGGTAAATACCAGGGTTGACTGCAAAGACAGTCTACCAAGAGAAGAATGGGGAGTAAGACTCAATTGATAGTTCTCACTTATGAAGCATCCTACACCAATGTTCTCAGTCAGATGAACTTAAACTGTCTATTTAACAGTTTGTGGACCTTTTGCCATATTTGTTAAGACAATCCAAAAGAAAGTAATAGATTGGACAAATATGGCCAGATGAAAAAGCCTGTATCTAGCAGAAGATATCCTAGCTGAGATACATTTATTGATGCAGCAAAGTTCCTGCATTTTGCATGTATATGCTGAACCAAAATGGGAGATCACGCTTATGTATATCTGATGGCAAGTCATATTTATTCCAGAATTATATAGGCAAGACATTCATGTAGAGTCAACCTGAGTGAGGTAATACAAATATTGTAAGACAGGTGATCTCCTGAGATTAATCCCATGAGAGATGTTATGGCATAGAAGGAATGCAGCAGCCAAATGGTCAATATCACCTGCCTGCACAAAAGGAATCAATAACCATCCTGGATAAAGCTCAAGATCTTCAGTGCATGAATGAACAAGGAAACCAAGAGAAATAATTAAAAAGAAAGGGAATGGAAGAATAAAAAGAAAAGCAAGGGAACTAAAAAACAAGACCAAAGAAAAGAATAGAACAAAAAGCACCTCCCCACAGTGAGGCCGGAATCTGATTGTAGGCATTCCTTTGGATTCACGGAGCTGTTGAAAGAAAATAAAAAGAAAAGTAATTACAATTTGGCTGTAAACCCCACATGGGAATAATAAATAACCATAAATTACGGGATGCATCTTATATCTACAACAGAACTGCATCTTGTTAATGCATCTTATAACATAGTAGCTTGTTTTGTAGTGCCACAATGCTGCTTGATATGTAAACAATGATGCAACTTCTGGGTTTATATCATGTAATATTGAATGACAATATTAAACATATATGTATTTCAAATGTTCAAAGTAATATTAGCTTTCAAAAATTGCCCAATGATGGTGATTGACAACACCATTAGAGAAACGTTTCTAATGATGCCAATAATTCATAATATTCTATGTATTAATGTGGCAATGGTATTCACAAATATTCCAATCAGTCTGGTGTTCAGCCTCATGGACATGGGTGGTCCCATATAATTGGATAACAATTTCAAACACAATTAAACATTCTAAGCATCCACAAGTAACATGTGAATATGGTTACACCATCATATGATTTGGGTAACTTGTTCCTTGGGCTCCTGATGTACTTTCTAAAGAAACTTTCTTGTGGTCCACTTTCACAACCGACTTTCCTGGTAAAGGCTATTTGAAGAGGGCCAGTTACTATTGAAATTAGAGCTTTTTGTTGGAAGGTATACCATGTGAAAATAAATACTTTGTGAGCATTTTCAAAAGAAAAGACCAAATCGGTGCCTTTCACCTAAAATGTACATTTTAATGTAGAGCAAGTTGTTAATCTACATAAAATTTACTAATCTCTTTTTGTGTCTGTGTATCAAGTATTTGGAAGTTTTTCTTTTTTTCTCCATGCTCAAGAGGAGAGGTAAAATATCATGTGTACCAGGGTTGTAGTGTTGTCTGTCTGGGAAGAGAAAAGTACAAGAATTATATAAGACATGTCAGAGAAGCTTTTGCTGCTTAGTATATCATTAGATGGTCGAATACTGTTGCAAGCTCATACATGTCCAGGAATATCGTGAGATTAGAAGTTCATAACAGACCCCTCCTGAAAAATTGACTTGTTAATACTGATAAAAAAAATGACTTGTTAAATTAAGCTTTGATTACAGCAGTTTAGGCAACCTTGGGAACTCGGGAATTGTTGTGTTTTAGAGACTACCTTGGTAACATTTTCACTCTTTACTTCAGGCCTAAAGGGCATGGAGAATCAACCAGGGCAGAGCTGATAGCAACCTAAGAAGGATTGAAATTGGTCAAATCCCTCAACTATAAGGATCTAGAGGCGAAAGGAGACTTGAAAGTGGTAATGAGTTGGATAAAAAATGGTCCTTGGAAGTAAGGGTGTCAATGGACCAGGTTTTGATTGGACCCTGTCTGAATCAAAATCAACTTGAACAGATTGGTTTGACCAACAAGACATATCAAATTGGACCAGCCCAGACTTGATGGTCCAAATTATTTATTGGATTGTATTGGAACTGGTCCATTTGTAATGGATTTATATGGACTGGGTCAGATTAAACCAATATCAGGTTCATTGACGTAAGATAAGAGTTCAGGTCTCAATGGAACAGGTAAGGGTTGGACTCAATCTAAATTAAAACCAATTTGAACAGTTCGGATGGTCCAGACATTGAATTGGACCAGTCCAGAATGGTCCAAAGTATTCAACGGATTAGACTGGACCTCATCCATCTGTAATGGACTCATACTGGACTGGATCGGATTGGACCAATATCCTGTCCATTGACAGCCCTACTTGGAAGTATAGACAGCATATGGTAGAGGTTTTGTATTACCTTGTTTACAGAGAGAGAGAGAGAGAGAGAGAGAGAGAGTCACAGGAAAGTGTTGCAGTTATGTGAATACATCACAACACATATTAGGCTACCTTGACAATTCTTGATTGTCATAGGTAGTAGACCTTAGAGGTAGTCTCTATTTTTTTCATATGTTAGCGGGTTGTTTTTGTATCATTTGGGATAGGATAAAGGCACGCACTCACTGGGTGGTTTGATTTTTCATTTGATTGTTAGCATTTCTATGTTTTATTGTACAGTTGCAAGAAAGTCTTGAGACCATGTGAACTCATTAAAATCAAATCATCCATGCATACACTCACTGTTGATTTGGTTTTTCATTTGATTGATAACATGTTTGTGTACTATAAGAGGGTTGCATAAAAGTGCCATGGTTTTTGAACTAATCACTCAACATGTTAGGCTAACTTGATTTTCTAAATTGTCATAGTAAGGTAGTAGACCCTAGAGGCAACTTCTATTTTTTCATATGTTAGCAGGTTGTTAGAGTGTCATTTGGGGTAGCAATAGCAGGATGCACTGGATAATTTGGTATTTCATTTGATTAATAGCATGTCTGTGTCTTATTAGAGGGTTGCAAGTAAGTGTTGTGACCATGTAAACACATTGAAACCAAATTACCCAAGCAAGCACTCCTTGGGGGATTTGGTTTATAGCATGTCATGCTTTATTGGAGGGTTGAAAGAAAGTGTTGTGACCATGTGAACTCATTGCTCCACATGTTAAGCTATCTTTGTATTTCTTGATTGTCAAAGGGAGTGCACCCTTCAAGGCATCAAGGCAGGGCTAGGTGATTTTTTTTTCTTTTTTTTTTTTGAATAAAACCCATCTTTCACTATTAATTGTCACCTAGTGCCTGGGTGATGGGTTTTTTTGAACAATAACCATGGATCCTAGGGTAATTCCTTAGGTTCCATTATCAAGCAGCAACCTTCTTTTGCTACTAATTGTCTATAATCTTCATAAAAAATGTACAAGCTTCATCTGAAACATAGAAAAACAATATATTCATGAAAAAATGGAAGAAAGAAAACAAATTTCAGAAAATAGAAGGGTTGAGCCTCTATTTTTATCCTAGGTAAAGAAGAAAAGAAAATAAAGGGTAAAATCAATAGATATTGATTGGATAAAAGTTTGAGTTCTTCCATGCTTATTAGTTCAAGTTTTAAAATCTTCAAGGGTTCAAGGCAGAGGCCCTAATAAATGAGAAAAATAATAAAAAGAAACTTTAACTTAAACTGAATAGTTTAGTTTAATATTCTCTACTTTATTATTATAATCTCAAAAGGTTAAGAATATAAAAGTATGCAAGAGCGTTGGGTAAGGGAACCCTCCATGAGTGTGCCTTATCAGCTAGGCATCACCTTGACAACTATGACGAAGCCTCCTTGGTAGATATAGATATGCATTTATGTAATAGAAACATCAAACTGACTACTTGGATGTCAAATCATCCTTTCCATTTGAGGTAGACCTCTCTCCTTGCATTGTCATTAATGTTTTGTGCTCTAAAACCATGAACAGACTTGCAGTGGGCCAGTGAAATGCCAGGCTGAGCCAATGCCCAGTATGCAGTCCACTTCCTTAAACATATCTTATTTTATGTTTACAAATTATAATCTCTTGCTAACCTTTGAAATCGACAATTTGGTTTTCCTAATGCTTTTCTTAGCTTTATGTTTTTTCTATTTTTGTTCTCTTCTTTCATGCTCATAGATAGGATGATCAATCATTTGGATTGTGAAATGCCACCCATAGCAGTTTGATATCCAGTCTGAGATCCACAATATTATTCTTCAGTTTAACAGACAGACTTAGGAACAGTCCTATGTGCTCGTGTTCTTGAGCATTTCTTTCGATAGACAACAAATCAGAATTTAAGGAATATGTAGACACTTTTGATCCCAAAGACAAGGACAGAGACCCAAGTGATAGTCACAGAATATATTGTATCTCTAATCATTTTCAACCCTAACTAGAAAAAGGGAATGCCAACAAATCTGGGAATAAAAATAATTGATATCTCTCAAAAAATCTACGAAAGAACCTGTTATGATTCGGCCTGCCTTGGAGTTCTATCTGTCTGAGATCAGTTATGTAGAAAGAGGTAGAAAGGTGGAAGAAAGAGAGAAAGAGAGAAAGGAGAAAATTTGGTTCGAACTGGAAGTCTCAAGTCAGTTCTCCCAATCGGCCAAACAGTACTTTTATTATTAAAAAATAAATGAAAAGACATATGTGCCCTTATTTAAGTAAGGAGCACTGGTTCTAACACAACATTACAAATCAACAACATTAATCTAGGTATAAAGACAGAAATACCCCTACGCTAACACTCCCCCTCAAGCTGGTGAGTATATATCATATACTCCTAGCTTGTTACATATGTAGT